GCCGACGGCGGAAGGGCGCGCGCTCGCCGCCCGTGGTCGGGGCACCGCTCGCAGGAATCGGGTGGGATGCCGCTAGCGGTATAGCGGGTCTGGAGCATAGGGGAGGTGGATGTGTGTGTGTGTGTGTGTGTGTGTGTGTGTGTGTGTGGTGTGTGTGTGTGTGTGTGTGTGTGTGTGTGTGCGTGTGCGTGCGTGCGTGCGTGCGTGCGTGCGTGTGCGTGAGAGTGAGTGGATGAGTAAGTTTGAGAAAGAAGGAGAGTGCGCGTGCCTGCACTTGCATGTTTTGTTCCGTTGCATTTCTCCCACAAGAGGAATGGCAGACGATCGAGAGACAGACACAAACAGACAGACTGAACGACAGAGACAGACAGAGGACCCGAAAGAGAGAGAGAGAGAGAGAGAGAGAGAGAGAGAGAGAGAGAGAGAGAGAGAGAGAGAGAGAGAGAGAAGAGAGAGAGAGAGAGAAAGAGAAAGAAAAAGGGGAGAGAGAGAAGAAAAAAAAAGATACTAGACCGTCATGCTCTACTAGCGCAGCTTCGTGTTCAGTAAGAGTCGAGCTTTCTTGCATGTCCATAAGGGCGAAAAACGCATCAAATGTACTGCGCGCGGAGAGTCTCGGGGAAACTCGTGACGTGGAAGACTTTTTTGTGATATAATAATTCTCTTCAGCGCCGCCATTACGGAGCTCCGGCTGTGCCTTCGTCGTCGGGGGGAATGTTGCGAACGTGGTCGCGGTCTTCTGAAGGAGTATACTTGACGGACTCGGGGTTGCTAGGTGTTGAGGCGGGATGGGCGGGATTAGGAGGGGCGGTGACTGCTGAAGGGAGTCTGGCTTTTTTTTTTTTTTTTTTTTTTTTTTTTTTTTTTTTTTTTTTAAGTACTTCTTTTGAGATGTTTGTCATGGTTTTCTTCTTCTTTTCTTTTTTACGTGTGTGCTTCTTTTGAGATGTTTATGTTTTTTCTTCTTTTTCTTTTTCTTGTTCTTGTTTTGCTTCTTCTTCATCATATTTCTTCTCGTTTTTTGCTTCTTCTTTTTCTTCTTCATCTTCATCATTATCATCATCATCATCATCATCATCATCATCATCTCCATCTTTGTGATCGTATGTTCCACTTGTTTTTTTAAATCATGCTGGAGATGATTCACTTCATGGTTGTATTTAGATAGGGGGGGGGGGGTAATCCTTCGGTAATGGTGTGTGTGTGTGTGTGTGTGTGTATGTGTGTGTGTGTGGTGTGTGTGTGTGTGTGTGTGCGTGCGTGTGTTGTATTAGTGTGTATCTGCGTATTTGTGTATGTATGTACGTAATTTCTACGCGCCAGGCACAGCTCGCAGCGTCACCGTCTGCGCTTCCCGAGGAGGCAAGAAGTAAACGCGGTGGGCGGGATGCCGTCGCCCCCCCCCCCACCCCCACCCCCACCCACCCACCCACCCACCGCCGTCCCGTGCCGCCGTAAGAGAAGGCACGGCACGCACGACCCACAGCGAAATATTGGAGATGCAAAGTGGCGCTGGCAATGGAGAGGAGGAGCCGCCGGAATATCGCGTTCCGATCTTGAATTCGGAATAGAGTTACGTGTTTCGCCTTTCGGGCGTCGGTGCCCCCGAAGCCGCCGCCGTCGTGCTCCCGGCGCGACCTGGGGCGTGTTGCGCGGCGCGTTCCATTTGGTTCGTTTAGTTGCAAAAAAAAAAGAAAGATCAGAGAGAGAGAGAGAAAGAAAGGAGAGGGAGAGAGAGAGAGAGGAGAAGAGAGAGAAGAGAAGGAGAGAGAGAAAGAGAGAGAGAGAGAGAGAAGAAAGAAAGAAAGAAAGAGAGAGAAAAAGAAGGAGAAAGAAGAGAGAAAAAAAAACAAAGAAAGGAGAGAGAGAAAAAAGAAAGAAAGAAGGAGAGAGAGAGAGATTGAGAGAAATCAGCTACCTGTTTAGCCATTCGCAAATTGTATGGCCCAAAATGAAGTGGGGGAAAATATCGAAAAGCAGAAAAAAATGAGGGAAGAGAAATCACGCCCCGAGGTATCAGCGAGGGGGCGCGTCTCCTCCTCGGAATATATGCTAAACGAACCTTTAACTCTCCGGCTGGAATATTTCCCGCGAGACCTAGTGTGTTTTCCGAAATTCCGGCGGGTCACGTTTTCGCTCGTAATGGGACAGTGAAAAATTAAAAACATTTTTTTTTTTTGCGCCACTTTTGCTTTTAAATCCTAAAGGTATATTTTTTTTCGTAAATATAGGGTGTGTGGTCAGAGAGCGGCCGAGTTGGTTTACGTTTTGGGGTTTTGTGATGGATGTTTTAGCCTTTCTTGGGAAGGGGAATCGCCATTTATTATACGCGTGGGTGCCAATACGACTCGATTTGTTTCGCGCACAATTGTGGTAATTCGCGCACAATTGTGGTAATTACACTGAAATTCAGATAATTTGCAAGGCTTTTGTTTATTATCTATTATTTTTTGTTTATTATTTATTTTGTTTAATTATTCCGCAACCGGATATTCTTAATTGGATGTCAGTATAAATATCTTTTAATAGCTTCTAGCAGCATCGCAAATCTTTTTTTTTTCTAAATGAAGCCATTTCTCATTTACAAAGACTCTTAAGATGTCAAATTCGATTATATGAATGAAACGTCAGATTTTTATTTTTTTTCCGGAGACAATCTTACGACTCGCTCTGAGAAGCGTCTTAATTAAATTGATAAGGATTATCGGCATCAAAGAGAGGCAGATTGAAAGGCGAGAAGGGAAAAATAGGCAATAAGGGGCAACGATGCAGTGCGGAGTCAAATGGATGGGAAGAAGCGGGTCGTTTGATAAGCTCCTTTTGTTCTGGTCTTCCCTGCGAGGCGAGGGCGCCGAGGCAGGGGGGCGCGAGGAACTACATGCGCACGCACGCACATGTGTATATTTATGTATATACATATATATATGTATATGTGTACGTATATATATATATATATATATATATATATATATATATATATATATATGTAACACACACACACACACACTATTGTGTGTGTGTGTGTGGTGTGTGTGTGTGTGTGTGTGTGTGTGTGTGTGTGTGTGTGTGTGGTTGTGTGTGTGTGTGTGTGTGTGTGTGTGTGTGTGTGTGTGTGTGCATATGTATTAGAAGACAGACAAAGAGAGAGTGAGTGCATGAATGAATGAATGTGTGTGTGAGAGACAGAGAGACAGAGACAGACAGATAAACAGAGACAGACAGACACACAGATAAACAGAGAGACAGAGACAGACAGACAGATAAACAGAGAGACAGAAACAAAGGCAGAGAGAAAAGTGAGAAAGAGAGAAAGAGAGAGACCGAACGAGCGAGCGAGGGTCAGCGGAGTCCAAAGCACAATAGTTCACGCCCGAGTTTGACCTCCGGTTCATAACCCTGTCAAGCAAACACGTGGCGATGAGGGATGGGCGCCGGCAGAGACGCGTGTCCGGGGTTAGTTCGTGGGCGCCGTGAACGAGTGCCACCTGTCGCGAGCTCCTGTTGGGGGGGGGGGGTTAGCGGCGTCGAAGGGGCATGGAGGAGGAGGAGGAGGTGAATGGAGGCGAGAGTCCTTGGGTGTTCTTGGATGTTTATTAAGTGTTCTGTTGGTTTAAGCTTGGTGTGAGGGCGTGCGCGTGTTCTTAGGTGTTCTTGTTCCAGCGGTGTTTATTAAATTGGTTTATTTGAGGTTTAATTAATCGATAATTAGGCGTCCTTGGTCCAGTGGTGTTTATCAGATCGGTTTATTTGAGGTTTAATCGATAATTTGAATGTCGATATCTTTAATGAGATAGAATTATGAGATAGGAGTGTGCTAATGTGCATATGTCGATGCTCATGTCATAGATGAAGGTTTAGATTGACAAAATATTTAATTAATGTGTTGGGTAGTTGGTCTGAGAACACTTTAGGACGTGCATGCCTTCATGTCAGGCCTTATTAGGATATTTCTCTTCTGATTACTCGAAGAGGTATGTCAGCCACTTCCTTCTGTTGTCGCTTCGGTGCCCTCCTCTACCTTCTTTCTTCCTTCTATCCCTTTTCATTTATCAGCCTCCATCTTTCTCTACCCTCCTTCCCTCCCCCTTCCACTTCTTTGCCCTCCTTCCTTCCACCTTTCTGTTCTTCACTGCCCACGTTCACCTCTCTAAATACTCCTTCCTTGCACCTCTTTGTCACCACCTCTCTCTCCACCAACTTCCAGCCCTCCACCTATCTATCCACTCCCTCCCTTACCCCCTTCATCTTCGCCTCGCGTCCCTCCACCTCCTCCCTTCCCCCTCCCCCATCCCTTCCTCTCCTTTGTCCTCCCTCTCTTCCCTCTTTTACCTACCAGGCCTTCCCTTTCTCCCTCCACCCCCCTAGCCTCCCCACTTCTTTCCATCCTGCTTCCCTTCCTTACTTCCCACTTCCCCTCTTTCCCCTTCACTTCCCTTTCCTTCCCTCCTTCCCCCCTTTCTACCTCCCCCCTTTTCCTCCTTCCTACTTTTCCTTCCTCCACCTCTCCTTCCTTTCCCTTCTTCCATCCCTCCATCCCCATCCCACCTCCTCCTTTCCCCCACTTTCCCTCCCTTCCCACGTACTTTCCTTCAACTCGTGGTCTACCTGCTCGCACTCCGCAGACTCCCCCAACACGCTTATAATTACGGCCAGATTACGTCCTGGTCCCGATCGGAAGACAGATGAGGCTGTCGTATTTCGCGAGCGGCGCCGCGGTAAACAAGGGCCGTTGCCGCGCCGTGGTGTGGTAGGGGCTGCGACGGGAGGGTGTGTGTGGGTGGAGGGGGGTAGGGGGATGTGGGAGAGGGGGTTTGTTTGGGGGTAGGGGGTGGGGATGGGGGTTGTGTGGGTGTGTGTGGAAGGGGATGGGTGGGGTGGGGGAGAGGGGTTGTGTGTATATGTGTGTGTGAAAGGGTTTTGTGTGGGGGGAGAGGGTGGCTGTTTGTTGTAGGAGGGGGGAGGGGGTTGTATGTTTGTGAGGGAGGGAGGGGTAGGTGGCT